GGCAGGTTAGGATCTGTAGTTTTTTGGGGGTCCCATTTATATTATTGAGGGATAATAAAGTGATAAAAGAATAAAATATAATAAGATGTGATAGCTTGATTAGCATAGGTTTTCTTTGGATTTACTGGTATCTTAATGCCATCTTCATAACTTCCTACGTATTGCAGAACTCTCCTGAATATTTATGAACTGTTTTGACAGCAACTTGATGTTCTTTACTGCTCTGTCTCATTCTATGTATTTGCTGACTTATCTGAAGAAAAACGCATAAAAGCATTGGGTCTGTTACAGAAATACATGTATAAATTAGTAGAACAAGAAGAAAGAAAGGTTCTATATCAGAACTATGAGGTAGAATGAAACATCCTTGCAATGTCATCAAATAAGAAACCGAATCCAACTCTCTTCTTACAGATATGTTAACAGAGCTCTCCCTTAGAAGAATTTGAGCTAAAAGATACCATATCATGTGTTTATTTTATCTTCAGAAATAAACATTTCAGCTCCTTTGGGAATCAGTGAGGCCAAGTACTTTCTCGTTGTTGTTTTTTGTATGCTTTTCTATAACCCCTGGAGTGCCCGACTTGAGAATTTGCAACCACAGCATCCAAAGAGACTCTAGCCTCACCTAGTTCTGAACTTTGATTAAGAAGTGCCAGAAGATAATTCCAGTGGATTTCTTAGTTCTCAGAGAAGAAAAAGAAAAAAGCTGTTGGAGAAATGGAACAAAAGGAGAAACAACAAATTGAGGATACTGCTTCAAATTTAGGCACAGTTATGCGGAACAGCATGCTGCTTTTATGACTATCACTCCCAACAGTTGAATTGATCAAGGACACTGTTAAATATTCAAAAGTGTTAGATGGGTCATTACTTAGAATACAATTGAGCATATTTGAATACTTCTAGAAGTAGTCTGGGTATAAAACAGATCCAGACTTTTGAAGTCTCCCCCATTTTTTTTCCTGCTTAAGAAATAAATTATATACTGTATTTCATTTTTTTCTTCCTATGGTTCAGGTATTTCTCCATCACTGGGTATTATGAAAGCAGTGGTCCTACAATAGTTTTGATATGTCAATATCCTTTTTCTTTCATTAAGAAACACTGGTTAAAAGAAGAACCCCGAGAATGCTGCGATACTGAAGGGACATTACATCACAGGAATGAGCCCAGGGATTTGTGAAAGCGATGAAATCAAGAAATTTTAAAACCTGGCTTTACAAGGTTCCTACAGTTTTGAAGTTTTAAAGTGTCTGGAGGGTAGGAAAGGCCAACTTTTTACTGTTTCTCACAGTGCTGGAAAGGAAAAAAGGATGCAATTAAAGGTTACATCATAGTAAAGAGTGAGATGATGCCAAGAAAGAAGGATTAACAATCTTAAAAGAAAATGAAGTCAATCTCCCTTTTCTGAAGATCACACAGATAGTAAGATGTCACTTTCAAAGCTTCTTCATTACCTTGGTAGTAAGGAGAGCAATCAACATAAAATACTTGATATTGGCAAAGTTAATCCATTACCCTCAAATTTTATATGGTTCAATATTTGTCATTTAAATCTAGATACACATTGAAATGCATGTTATACATAGCCAGACTTTGGTATCAACATATCTTCATTTTTGTTTATTATTATTCTCAGAGTGAATTTTGTCCTTCGTTTGGCAACACGAACAAGAAAAAGTAGAAAATACTTACAAGTTAAGATGAAATTAAAATTTTTCCCTGATTCTAAACAACCCGTTTATTTTTAAGAAAGATAAATGGATAAGGACAACAGGAATAATTATGGGGTTGACTTTTCCATTTGTGTTTTGAATTTTTTTTTAACGTTTATTCATTTTTGAGAGAGAGAGAGAGAGAGAGGGAGGCACAGAATCCGAAGCAGGCTCCAGGCTCTGAGCTGTCAGCACAGAGCCCGACGTGGGGCTCGAACTTGTGAACCGTGAGATCGTGACCTGAGCCAAAATCGGATGCTTAACTGATTGAGCCCCCCACACGCCCCTCCATTTGTGTTTTGAAAGTTTCATAGTATTATTTTATTGTAGTCATAGAAAACCAAGGCAGCTTATAGGACTAAGACTTTGGATATGTTTCTTGTGCACAAATAACAGAGTTAATCACACCTGGTTGTTTTTAAAGGGGCTACTCTACGATGGAGGCCCTCACCAGGAGCTAAGTCACAGCGTCTAAGTGATGCTGTTGAGAAAAACAACGATGGCAACAAACAACAAAACCTGAAAGGTTTAAGAAAGACAATCTGTACATCTCAAGAGATAGTTATGATTTAAGAGAAAGCGAAACAGGAGGAGGATCTTGTTCAACTGACATTTTGGTTTTTGAGATTTAGGTCATGCCAGAGCTGCCATAATGGAAACAACTGGCTCTCCTCCATGTCACTGTGAGGGGGTGTTGAAAAAATCTCATCCAAGAAAATCACAAGGTCTACAAAAATACTTGAGCCATTATAGAAAGTAGGTGTCCAATTAATCTGGAGTTCATAACCCAATGACGAGAACAAGAAGGAATAAAATCCTCTGTGCTGTCATCAGTTACTGACCCTTCCAGAACATTTCCTGTTGGTATGGTTTAGTACATCTTGGGAACTTCCTGAAAGCCATGTGGGCACATGGATCTAGTGCATCATTTATTCCTAGTGAATTACCATAAGGAAAAGGCCTAATACACTTCTATTTTATTTTGGTGGTTGTAACTACCAACTGTGGTGGTGTTTGAGGTTATTTTCTATGAAGCAAGTCAATACCCGGAGCACTCTCTAGGTGCTATTTTAAAGGAATAAGTTAAATTCACAACTGTTTAATAACAGACTGTGAGTTAGTCTTGTTAGAATAGGGAATGTAAATAGAACTGGCAAGTAGAGAAAATGAGTCATTCCACAGGCTAAAAGCAGTGCTGTGTTTCTTAAGATATTTGAGGGTGGGAGTTTGATGGTGGAGGGGGAAATAAACCCTTTTGGGAATCTGATAAATTCTAGCTTCTATCTCACCAGAAAAATGCTCCGGTAAGGTACATATAAAATTTGGCATTTCATCTTAGGGGTTTCAGACCCCCCTGGAGTTTATCCATGAATATTCTCTGGAGCTGTGCAGTCCGATATGGTAGCCACATGTGGCCAGTCTGAATTAGACTATGCTATAAGGATAAAATAACACTAGGTTTAAGACTTAGTGTAAAAAATGAAAAGAATGTAATACCGTATATTTTATACTGTTACATATTATTTGGTATATTAAGTATAATAATTATTAAAATTAATCTCACTTATTTTTTACTTTTTAAAATGTGGCTACTATAAAAGTGAAAATTACACACGTGGTTTGAAGTATATTTCTTGTGGACAGTGTTGCTCTAGAACCTTAGACTCCCCGGAGAAGAACATGTAGTATTAGAATACCGTGAAATTAGTATTAAAGGGAAAAGGGGTAAGAGAATAAAAAATCGAAACAGAGGAATGTCTTTAGAATAAGAGACCTAAGTTTTTAGATGTGATCTACAGTTTAATTAAAAGACTTTAGTCACTCAAGTAGTCACCAGCCATCTGCTCTCCGTAAGACAGTGAATTTGGCTTATGGGCATAAAAAGAAACATTAAAACTTAGCATCTGCCCCCAAGGAGCTTACAATCCACTTGGAAGTGAGAAGACAGAGTTAAATGATATGGAAAAAAAAAAATACCTGACAGCACAACATAGTATATGGATAAGGTGTAATTTGAGCATTATAGATCGTTCCCTCTTAAACTGCTGAAAATCTCTTGGGGGATTTCCTTAAAAATGCAGTGTCACGAGCTCCTACAAATTCTAGTTCTATAGCTGTAGGTTAGGGCCCAAGACTTTGTATTTTTCAGAAGCTCCTGTGTGATGTAGATGCTGCTAACTCACAATCTACACTTTGAGAAGCACTGGCGTGGATCAGTCCAGAAGTGGATGTAAACCGAAAGTGTCTGGGAGGGCCTGGTTCCACATAGAGAAGACAAGTAGAAAGGACAGGTGGCTGTGATGAGAAGATGGGAACAATCCAAGACACAACAGGGTCTACGGTGGAACTTCGAAAGGCAGGGGTGGTGTGTGTATAAGCCTTAGGACAGTGGGAAGCGAACGCTAGATGATTGATTTGGGCCCTAAGGAGCTAGATCTATGCTAATGTTCATTAACCTTTTTATTTTTCCTTTTAAAATACTGAAAAACAGCTTCAATAAGTCACTTATAGGAAGTGTCATATGTTGTTTTTCTTCTCTAGTGTGTATGTCAAAGATAATTGACTCCTATAAACCTAAGGCTGAAAGAATTGCCACACTTTGAGCTAACTTCCTGTCCCCCACGCTAAGCCCTGAATCCAAGATTCTCATCTTATTTGTTCCTATATCTAGCAGACAGTAATCAACTCTGTTTTTATGATGGATGGTTTTTGTTTCCCACGGTTGAGCACAAAACCCACAGTGCACTGTGCAGCTTTGAATCGTGCTCCTTCCTTCTCCAAGGAGACTTTAGCAGGTTTGTTGTCTTTTCACCTGACCATGCATCCAGCAGAGGTATTGCCCAACTTTTCCTTCTAGGACACACAGAAAGAGCTCAAGATAAGGAGCAGCTGGTTCACGGCGAGCAACCACAGAAGCTAAAGGCGTGTGATCTTTTAACCCAACACCAGCTACCTTAGCTATCTGCGTATTTCCATGTTATTTCGAGATGGTGCTCTGGCTCGGTAACTGAAAGACCCTTTCAAAGTTTTGCTGTAGGTGTGAACTAACAGCTGTTTGGAATACACATCTGCTTCCATAAGAGAAGCTTGGTATGTTGGAAATTAGACAAATCACCTGGAGTGCGGTCCTTTACTGATTTTAACTAAATTTACCAGTTCATTTGACAAGCTCTACATATAGTTATCAAAACCTTCAAGTTTTACCATATCCCATCAGTTTTGCTTTAAAAACCAACAGCAGAACAAAAAAAAAAATATTGGTTGAGAAAGGTTTGGGGGTGGGTGGGAAGAGAGGGGTGAAAACTTATCAAAAGTAAAATTGGATTAAGAGTCAATCAAAATCCAACTGTGAATTTATCATTTCAATGAATTTCAATGAATGGTTTAAAATCTGTTTGAAATCTATTTGAAAATGAATATGTAATAATATAGACATATCTCCTTTTCAAAGCCAGTATTGTCAGATGTATTCGGAGCATTATAATTCATGAACAGAGTAGATGACTATTTGAAAAGTATTAAAATGAGCTGACTTTTCAATACAAGTGTCTTCACAATAAGTTTTTCTATTCTGGGCAATTCAGAAATGTAGACAATTGTGCTAGAAAAATAATATGTATTGTAATATTCATTGTACAGTAGTAGTGTAGTAAGTGGCAATTCTGGACATTACAAGAGACACAAGGATTATTTTCTGTGATTGCACAGAGAATACTTGGATTTCTTGTGAAGCTTTTGCATTGGAAATGAGATTCATCAGTCTGAACAGGGCAGGGTTAGAGCCCTTAGCAACATGCTTATTTTGTAGAAGGTCACTCAATAATAACTTCCTCTGCCCTCCAAGCTTATTAAGACTGACTGGCATATATTAATGAAAACACCTGATTCTCCAACCATAAAACCCAGACAAAGACTTTATTTTAATATTAAGGAAGGAACCCTTAATTAGCAGGGTTTCAAAAATGTCAGCTTCTTCTATTAGCTGTTCTGGTCCATCAAAGCCATAATCCCTACTGTCAAATTTCATCACATGATAGACAGTTTGCCGGCTGTCTTTTTTTTTTTTTTTTTTAACTGATCATACTGACTGAAGCCTTTTAAAAATTTTTTTATTTTGCCATCACATTTTACAACTCATTGTGCATTTGCCTGTTACACTCTTGATTTTACTACTTTCAAAGAGTCTTAGCACATGTCAGCTCAAAAAGGTGGGGGGAAACACTGCTGAAACACAAGTATTACATGTGAATACATATGCATTCTTAGACGTATAATTAAGGATTCTTGGAAGACCTGGGCTTGCTTATATTGATTGCCTGCCTGAGTATGTAAATGTGCTGTCCCGAAAACACAGATAAATAAAATGGTCTCAGAGATGATTTCCCATTTTTTGATGTATCAAGGAGAAGGGGGCAAATTCTAAGGAAGAACCCAGGATTTTTTTACGGGAAACGTTCGTCACTGTTAACCATTAACACACCTGTCTGTTGCAAGGAACTCATTAGAGCATCTATGGCTTTGCATTGCCCTTCAGAAGGAAGATAAAATGACTGCACCCAGCAGGACAGAATAAATATATAGCTCTTAGAGTACTTGGGTTTTAATCTGATTCAAAACATTTGCTGTTGATTAAATCCTTTTGCAAATTGAAAAATTCATACTATCCATACTGAGAGGAATATAAAAACACAACACCAAATCAAAAACAAGGATGACTCAAGGATTTCATGGGAACTTTTGTGAAGACTCAACTGCAGCTCTTGCTTTATCCATGGGAGAACATGGAAGCCTCAAGGGCAAGAGTTTTAGTGTTCTGGAATGAATTACCATGACTAGAAGCTCAAGAATGAACTGATGGAGACGGCTGAGACTTGGCAGATTTAACTGCTAGAGACTGGTAAGCTCATACCTGTGCTCTTTCATGAGGATCTGGGGCTCATCGGAGAACACAGTGTGTTTTCTTAGCTCACCCGTTTGTATCAGTAACGGAATGGGCAAACTGTATCCATTTTTACTAGTACCCAGGTATTTATTTTCCCCTTTTTGCTTTAACATTTTTTTTCTTCCTAGACTCCAGGCTAGAAAGGCTATCCCTCTTAGAATTTTGCATATCCTTTACTTAGCCATTTCTTCCACGTGGAGAGCAGAAGTGTTCTCCACTGAGCTTTGGGAGACCCGCCCAGGGAGGAGCTGGGGTGATCTCAAATCCCCATGCCCAACGTTCAGAGGTTTTCACAATAGTGAAGCTCACTTGGTTCCTTTGCCCAGGAACAAGTCTTTCTGTTTCCATCACTGACCACCCCTTTGATTTTCTTAGCATCTATTCTACTGTCTCATCAGCCTTGCATATCCGCGGACACAAAGCAAAGCCAAATAATCCCAATTTCAAGCCACTAATGAGTCATTGTTACTGTAATGCTTCTTGGTTGCTTCTGTAGATGAAATCGAGATAGGTTACCAGAAAACGCACCTTCAACTATTAGCTGAATTTACAGCCAGCCCTTTCATACGATCTAATGGCCATGGTGACTGTCCACAATTACAAAGTCTCTTGTTCTCCTTTTAATTGCATCATTTAGAAGTCCCATAGCTGAGACTGATGAATTCCTGCCTTTTCTGCTGAACATTCAAAAGAGGCACCTTCCAGGATAGCCAGATAAGAAAGGGATGTTTCTTGGACTCAAAACATTTATTTAGGTATTCAGGACAGCCAGGTGCAGTTTTATGACTAATGGTATACCCAAAGTGGGCTATGTTTTAGAAGGTTTTCTAATACTTACTTTTACATGCTTCTAATGGAGAATACTGGTTAGGAATGCAGACTCTAAAGGCACGTGACCTGGGATCAAAACCATTACCCACCTTGGGCAAGTTACTCTACTGTTTCCTCAACTATAAACTAGAGCAAATAATGTTATCTACCTAACTCTTGTCAAAATTAAGTAAGATAGCGCCCGCAATGTGCCAAACAAAGCATATGGCATATATTGAGTGATCAGTGAGTGTAACCATCTGTTAATTCACTGCAGTAAGCTTCCTGAGGGCAGACAAAGCCATTTCTGTCTAATTCCCTGCTACAGCTCCTGGTACGTGGTAGGCAATCGCTTTATGTTGAGCGAGTGAATAAATAAATAGCATTACAATTTTACTAAGAAATGAGCTGATTTCAAGGGTTTGGTAAATGTTTGAGTCCCACAGTAATATGGTGGCTTATTGATTTTGCTTATCCATTCATCATATTAACAGAAGCCTATGCTTGGGCCATCAAGTCTATTCTGCTGAGACTTTCAATCAAAACTGTGGCACAGTCATTAGGACCTCGAGAAAGCCACTTGAGTTTGATTCAGAAGCACATTAATAAAGTCAGGTAAGTGGGGAATGATCACGAGTTTCATGTCGAGCAGAAAGATAAATAACCTAGATCTTTCTGGGATCACAGATCCTTTGAGACCCTGATGAAAAGCACAGTCTCCCTCCTCAACCTCTCTCTGACATGGCAGATAATGAGGGAATCTACAGATTTTTGGAGTCCACTTAAGGAGCCCCTGAGATACCTCTGAGGCACTACATGATCACTTTCCAACTAGAACAGCTCTATATTGGTGTGTTTTATTTGCTTTTGGTGTTTCGAAAGGTTTGGCTTGAAAGAAAACATGGAATGTTATGCCTTTTTACATTAATAGTGTCACCTTAACATAGTCTTTCCATTTTTTCTATTCAAAAAAGTCTGCTTCCATACTGTACCGTGGCAACAAGTCCAGAACTGTGGTTCTCACACCACTCTTGACAATACAATTCTGACAAGCATTGGCCTGGGAAGCAAAAGTCTGGTTTTTTAATCCTCTCCCCTTGTCAATACTGATTCTTGGAATGAGGGTGGACAAATCACGGTACCTTTTTTGTCTCTCCATTTTAAAATCTGTAATCATGACAGATAATCCCTGCTTCTTATGATGGTGATAGAGAGTGAATTAGAAAACACCCATAAAATGGAAGTACATGAAAAATTCCCCTGGATTTATACAGTGCCTACTTATGTTAAGAGTGGAAGCCTCAAAGGCGAAGAAAAAAAAAAAAAAGTGACAGGGAGCTCATGCAAGGCTCACTGCCTTTTCAGGCTGAGAAACAGGAAAGTAGTGTGGTTGGCATCCCAGAAAATCGATATCCAACATTTGTAGGAGCTTTGAGGAGTGTGTACTTCGAGCAAGAGGCAATCTTTGGTTGGAAAAGTCAGCATTTCTTATCACCTCCTGGAGGCAGTTTGACATTCCTCATCTGGAACAGAATGTTATCCACTGCGATGTGGTCCTTCCCACCTCCCCACTATAAAGGTAACACTATTATCTTTTTACATAACGTGCACAATTAATGTTGTGCTTTTGGACAACTTTACGCGCAAAATATACCTGTGGGGACTATTTTCGCCATTAGCAGCCAGAATAGTGTTGAGTCATCGGGAACTGGTCCAGGGAGGTATTAACGTGGGGATGGATAAAATATGTACTGACTCCCTCGTTCTCCTTCCTAAAACAATTCAGTACGTGCTGTAGGAAAATTTTCTCTAACCAGTGTTCATCTCCAGTCTTTAAAATGTCATTCTTGTAGAAGAAATAGAAATGACTTGTTCCAGGAACTGAAGGAACCTAATACTTTTTCTACTTAGCTGCTGGCACCCTTACATTAAACACTTTTCTAGGATGATACCTTATTTATCGTTACAGTTCCCAAGATTCCTAGCACTGTGATCAATAAATATTTATTGATTTGATTAACCTGATGATCCCCAAATGCTTTCTGGTATGTTGCCTCTTTCCTCCCCCAACCCCTAGGTTGTTGTCATTGTAAGTCAGAGGAAGACTGGTGATGCAGAACTTGAGGGGGCTGCCAACGCCTACATCCGGTGCAGGCTCAGGTCAGGCAATCATTCCTGCCTCATATTCTAGTGCTCTGCTTTGTTTGAGACATTGCATTGATTGGAGGCAGGGTTGCATTTTTCTCTTGGGAGTTGGAAAGGGCAGGGTTTAAAACCTAGCTATGTCCATTTCCATGGGAGCCTGAAGAGGTTGTTTAACCTTTTCAAGCCTCCATTTTCTCACCTGTAAAATGGAGATTTTGTACTTACTCTTCGGATTTGATGAGATGAGTAATGTGCTTAGCGTACACTAAGGGGTTAATAGACGGCAGCCATAATTGTAATAGTTACTACCCATGTGTTCACTTTCACCCGAGTCAGATTTGATAAGAGAAACCAATACATGCCACACAGCATACTATTTTGCAAAATATTTAGAAATTCCCCAAACTGTTACTACTCATGTTTTCAATGTATCTCAACCATAATCCTCTTCAAGTCCTTCTAGTTGTCAAAACAGCCTGATTAAACAGTGGGAATTTGATACTATGCTTGTTTTGCCTCATTAGCACAACAGTGTGAACAGGGACGGGGTGGGGGGGCACCTGAGAGGGGGCGTCGGAGCAGAACGGCTAAGTAGGAAAACTAGTGGCCTCAGAATGCAGACCGTCTTCTCAGGAACGGTTCTCATAATTTATTCCTGCTCAGATTGAAGGAAAACAGGATGGGGCATTTGTTTTCAAATAGGGAACTGGACGTAAACGGCATGACTTTTACAAACTTTGCAGTTTGCTGAGACCACGGGATGGAGTACTGAGACTGGCTACCTCAGACACGAGGAGGATTAAACAGGGATTCCTTGCAGCTTTGTGCTCATCCAATAAGGGGGCTACAGGAGAAAGCAAAAGCAAACAGCAGAACACTAAACGGAGGAGGAGTCTTTTGGCTTCCTGAGTTACCTGCATCCTTTTGCAAGGCTGAGTCAGTATCCCTAGTCCTACTGGCATTTGTGCAATTTCTTCAAGCTCACAGCTCTGTCTCACTTACTGTCTTTAAGTCACATACATTAGGGTTCATGTATTCAAACAAGAATGCCGTAACTACACGAGTTAGACTGGGAGCGGAGAGCCCTGGAGCAGAACCACCCTGGTGGAAAGCAGGAGATCTGGCCGCCGTCCAGCGAGGAGCCTGGTGTGAGGGTAGTGGAGGGAGGCGGGGGGGGGGGGGGGGGGGGACAAGAAGATCATGGCAGCAAAGGCTTTGGGACCAGTACCGTGGTTCGATGATGTGAGAACCGTACGCGGTTTCATCCACAGGCATGACAGAGGAAGATGTATCTGTACACCACGCTGCCGTGAACGGGAAGGAACCCAGGAAGTGCCTTTGCGGTGTGCGAGTCGGAGAGGTGATGGGGTTTGACGTTCACGAAGGGGAGAGCCTGAGGAGGCCGCAAATGGGGCAGGCCCTGGACGTGGAGCTCCAGGACAAGGCAGGAAAGTACGCAACGGCAGCCCCTAGCCATCACGGATGCCGTCCGGGTCGCAGGGGTCCACCCGCAGTTCCTGCCAGAACCGCCAGCAGGGTCAGAGTGGGGAAAGGAGGACGCGTGGGGAGAGTGCTCCGAGGCCAGGAGCCCTCAGCACTGCAGGACTCAGCTCGCACGTGGCCACAGGTGCAGAGCCGAGAGGTGGCAACCACCGCGGGTGCAGGGAGAAGTGCTGGAGGGCACCATACCTGGGTGCCGAAGAACAAGGTAGACCAGTGAGACAGTCTGTATGGCAGTTACAGACCACCATGCTGCTGGGGGCCCTCCCGCCTCCCACTGCCTACAGAAGACCAGGCAAGTGAATGGGATGAGACCCAAGGTCAGCAGCCACCTCAGCGCTGGTCACAGACGCCCAGAAAACAAAAGCAGCCCCGCTGCGGATCTGTCTGGTCCCGAGGTAGAGCAGGGCAGGGCTGAGCAAACGCGACCTACATCTCTACCATCATCCTGTCTAGTCATCCAACAAGAAGAAATGAATTGGAAATTCCAGGAACGAGAAAACGGTGCCAAAGATCAGAAGCGCTTGCTTTTTTTTTTTTTTTTTTTTTTTTTTTTTGCTCACTGACCAGATGACGAGAACTACCTGTGTTATCTGTGCAGCATGGGGTTTTTATTTTGACCTTAAAGACATCTCTTTTTGCTAATGACAAATACTTTTTCTTCTCTCTCTCTCAAAGTCTGGCTTTTCTCAACACACCTTGAAAGGGTTTTAATTGCTTCGTATCTGGTCAAGGGGAGACTTTTAAGAACCTCCTTTTTAATTTGTAATAAAAGTTTAGAACTTGATTTTTTTCAAAAAAGTCAACAAACAGCAATCACCTGTTAATAAAGGTCTTCAGAAAAACAAGAGTATGATAGATATGCTATTGTTTCTATGAATTTCTTCCTACTAGTGGGGAAGGTACACATCTACCCTGTTGTGTAAAAGATTTCACAAAGCCACATGCTTGCATCTTAGGAAAGCAAAAGAACTGAGCTGGCTTTCTCTAAGACAAATAAAGCAAAACAAACTATGCTGTTTTTTACTCAATACCTTTTCTAGTCTGATCTGCTCCCACGATGTCTTGGGGAAATTCAGACATACAGCCAAGAAAAGGTGAGGGAGATATGGGCTTCCAGCCTCAGACTGGAGACAAACCCTCTTACTGCATGCTGGTTATTTATTCTCACTAGGTTCGCTACGTTTGTGTATAAAAGAAAGACTGAATTAAAAAGATGATCTACTCTGCTCCTTTGTAACTTCCTCTTATTTATTTATTTATTTTTGAGAGAGAAACAGAGAGAGAGAGACAGCGAGACAGAGTGTGAGCGGGAGGGGGACAGAGAGAAGGAGACACAGAACCCGAAGCGGGATCCAGGCTCTGAGCGCTTAGCACAGAACCCAACCCGGGGCTTGAACTCACGAACCGCAAGATCATGACCTGAGCCAAAGCTGGACACCCAACTGACTGAGCCACCCAGGTGTCCCCATCCTCATCTTTAAAAAGGAGTAATTGTATTTACCTTCCTAGGTATCTTGTGGACTGAATAAGGTTGTGAGCATAAGTCACCGTGGCAATATCCAACGGAACATATGTAGTCAGAAAATCCTAGGTCTTTCTCCCTTTTCTCATTTGAAGGTTCTTTCAATTTAGAACAGTTGGGAATAATCGCGAACATGTGATGATCTTCATTAGCCATGTTCCTGAACAAGGCTATTATTGCAATAGATACACCTGGCATCCATCCCCTGTGAGTAACTTGACTCATGGTTTTTAGAATCAAGGGTCAGACTGACTCTCATCTTTCCAGTGCTGAAAGAAGCCCTATATAAATAATTTGAAATACAAATATTTATTCATCAACAGTTGGCTAGTCAGCAGCCTGGGATGCTCTGTACACATTTTGAGAGCAGATGGTTTAAATTTCTTAAACTTAAAACTCCACAATAAAGACAGGTAATGTCCAAAAAGTTTAAATGTCCTGTCATTATTGGAATATGTCTTTTCTTAGAGCTCCGAAGCCCCAGGCTTTGGGAATAAAAAAAACAAAACAAAAAACCTCACGCACACAAGAAGCTAATCATCACTTTTTTTTTTTTCCACTGTGAGGAAAGATTACGACATAAAAGGTATATGCGGCAGTCCCAGAGAGCGAACTGAAATTTGTCTAGGATGCAAAGGAGACTTCGTCAACCCTGGCAAATTCAAGGCCAGTGCAGCAGAATTAATACAATGTCAATTTTTCTTTGTGTCTGTAACCGTTTCCTATTATCCGGATAAGTGGGGAGCGATTTCACTTCTTTTATTGATATAGCTATGAAAAAGAATTAGATTTCAACACTTATGTAACTGAGATTGATTGATTAGATTATTAATTAAATATTCCATTAAATTTGCTTTTGAAAAAAAATGGCATAGGACTGTGAATTCCCTAAGGTTTGGTTTTTTTTTTTCCCCCGACCCATGGAAGAATAAACAAGGAAATGCATCACTAAACATTGTGTCTTATCTTGTGAGCGAGAATTAAGCCAGCAGAAGCATTGCTATGTAGAAAATTTACTCTACGGGCTGACTGTCTTGCAAGACTACTTTATCCATATCCCGGTACAAAGCGAAGAGACTTTTCTCCTTTGTGAATAACCCACGGAAATCAGCGAGCAGCTAAGAAAATGATTTGGGTGTTGCACAGCTAGGCGCCTCTATACACAAAAAACCGGCCCGTTTGAGTCGGGAATAAAATGGTTTACCTAAAACTTCCAATCATGCAGTGTTTCAGGGATCTGTGGAAAAATAAAAACAGCAAGTGGCCTTTCAGGTAACCCATAATTAAAAGCAATTTTGAGCTGTCTTTTCAGGGAACCTACCCAGGGGAAGTACTTGCTACCTGTTTGACCTTCACGATTGTGAGTCCTTGGCAGTGTCAACGACCCTCTGAACTGAATTCAAAACTAATCTCTGACGGAAAAAGAGAAACAGAATTCATGCAAATCATATTAATTCCAACATTTCCCCAGTGAGCTGGGTATAAACTACAGCCTAATTAAATATTTTTTAACGATGTGAGTAATTTTTGCCAAGGGGCGGATTCAGGGGAAAATTTAATATGAGATCACAAAAGCTGTTCCCAGCGTTGATTCTGTAAATTAATGACTATCTGCCTTATGATAAAAACATGCTGCCAAGAATGAAAATGAAGTCGGCAAAGCTTGCTCTATTTGTCTAACAACCAAATATACAGAATGCAAAACTTTAAAGGCGATGGGAAATTTCCATTGTGTTTGTGTGATATCTTCAGGATAAAGACGCACCATGCTGACAGCCCAATGAGCAGCTTGAAGGCACTGTCAGCAATACGGGGCCATTTTTAGGTTGTCGTTGTCAAGGTCCAGGGACCTATTTTAAAGCAGCCAGCGTGTTAAAAAATTATACACCACTTGTTTCCCAAAGAGAATTAAGGTGGCTCACAATAAGAGACACGTTACGCACAACATTCGAGCCAAAACGGAAGGTCAGAAGCATATCAAGGGCAGGTACTCAATTATTTGGGATAAATGTTGCCAGTGTTACAGCTCCATGGATTCCTTCCTCGACTGACCATTTCCACACCCATCTTGATCCTCAGGGCAGTTCATTCTGGAGACCTGAATTGGATTGCTGTCCAAGGTCACGGGGGTGAAAAATGGTGGTGAATATAGCAAGCGAGGGGATGGTGTCCACATAGCCGTGGGCAGCTTAATGCATCAAAATCTATAAATGGCAGTGGGCGAGAGGGGGCCTGGTCGAGAAGGCTTTTCTGGCCTGCTTCGGTCCAATTCGAGACCGGAGCTTCCTCCTGTGTTCAGACTCCTGTTTTGACAAAAAAGCAACCTGGCCTGTGTTACAGGAAAGCGAGGCGTGATGCCTGAATCAAAGCCAGGGGAAAAGTCCCTCATCTCACTTGGCTTTCTGAGGGCAGCCTGCTTCTAATGACTCCTGTAGTTAACATCCCGAAGTTGCCGGCGGCCCCCTGTGACAGATGACTTGGGCTCTGCTAGGCCCTGGTCATTAGGCCAGCCCATCACAAGGGTTTTAGGAGCTATATTTATTTAAATTTCTGTCGGTGCCCAGCGATGGAGATTGAATTTACAGTCTTTCAATTAGAAGGTCATCTGTGCTAACTAGTGCACCACTGCCTCATTATAATCATAAAATTAGTGAGAAAAGACTGGCATGAGTAATATGGAAACGCCGGTTTCAAAGGTGAAAAGGTGCTGTTTCCTCGGGTTACAGCAGAAGAGAATGCAACCAAATGCTCTTGATCAGTAAATATTCCCATTTAGAGCAAGGGGAGTCCTTGAAGCCCGTTTCAACAAAATAGAAGGATGCTAAGACAATTCTGTAGGAATACATACAAATGCACCTCAGATACAAATATTTACTGGGATATTTTTCCTATTTACATGTAAGTTTTCCCTGCAAATTAAATATGAATAAAAGTAGCACGGATGTCTCCAAAGCTTAGCTTTTGATTTTTTAACCCTATTTGTCAGAAATCTGGGTTGATCTTTAGTGAACAGTTTGAAATAAAACGAACGCAATATGGTCAAGGCTGAGAGGCAGAACGTGTTATGGCCAGTTGTGTATGCGTAAGCAGTGCTAAACCTTACCACGTTAAAACTTTAACTATTGTGAAGTGGCTGCTATAAACTGAGTCACTGGGTGCGAATTAGTATTTGTGCACACTAGAGATTTTAAAACCCAGCAAAAGGAGGGGCGCCTGGGTGGCTCATTTGGTTAAAAACCAACTTTGGCTCAGGTCATGATCTCACGGGTCGTGGGTTTGAGCCCCGCATCGGGCTCTGTGCTGACAGCTCAGGGCCTGGAGCCTGCTTCAGATTCTGTGTCTCCCTCTCTCTCTGCCCCTCCCCTGCTCCCTACCTCTCTCTCTCTCTCTCTCTCTCTCTCAAAAATAAGTAAATGTTAAAAATAATTTTATAAAAGCCCAGAAAAACAAGACATCAAGGGCAGCTCAATCCAAATTAAAAGGGAAAAACACTTGACTTTTTACATCTATCAGGAGCTCTTGTGCGACTTTTCTTATCCAGTCCTTCTAATGACCTTGTGCAAAGGGGGTATTTTATTCTTAACATACAGGGGAGGCAGGAGACGTGTAGAGAAAAGGCACAATTGTCACAACTCCAGCCTGGAAATAAATGATGCGGGGTGGGGGGTGGGTAGAGACCCAGCTCTGACCTCAAAGGCCACGCTCATTTCTCGACAGAATTTTTATCCTTATTTTGTTTTTTTTAAGTTTATTTATTTTGAGAGAGACAGAGAGAGAGAGAGAGAGCGCACCAGCGAAGGAGGGGCAGAGAGAGAGGGAGAGAGAGAATCTGATGCAGGCTCTACTCTATCAGCACAGGGCCCGATGTGGGGCTTGAACTCACGAACTGTGAGAACGTGACCTGAACTGAAATCAAGAGTCCTATGCTTAACTGACTGAGCCACCCAGGCGCCTCTATCCTAATTTTGCTATATTAATTAAGATGGTACTTATTTTAAGTATGTTTCAATTTTCTTAACCTGAGGAGATAGTCTCCAGGGACTTTGTTAATATAAACCTTAACAACTTAGAGAACTGGTTCGGGGAGGCAAGAAAGATTTCACTCTGAATTCGACAAATACATGCTGCCCATCTAGTTTAGGGCAGGTATCACCCTGTGTGCTGCAGGGAACCAGAATGGACACAACAGAGCTCTGCTCTGTCACTGAGAAGTGGTCAGGTAACCAACCGACTGATTCAAAGCAACATGCAGGAGCCCCAGTACAGAGGCGCTGAGCGCGTGGCCCTGACTTCGTGCGGAAAGGAGAGGAAAAAGAATTCTGGTATCAGCCGTAGAAGGTAAGGTGATTTCTGCACAGCTACAGGCCTTGTAAACAAAGTCAGAAGAAGCAGAGAGACGGTTGCCGGCCCGGCTCAGAAGAAGAAATGACCACAGTCTTTGTCTGACTCCCCTTTGCATCGTGCCTCGCTTTTTCTGGTGGATTTTCCAAGCCTCCCTCACTCCCTGACCTCCTCTCTTCCCATTCCACGTTGCCGGCATCCTCAGGCCTGCAGCGAGCACTGGCCTTGCTTAAAAGACTGTTGGCTCGGCCCTGGGTACTGCTCCCGCAGCAACAAGGACCCGGTCCTCCCGAGGGAGAGGCTGGCGCTCCTGGTAGAGGCATGGGTTCGGCACCAGTCAGCCAGCACAGAGTAAAGGAGAGA